TTTTTTTTTTCTATATAAGAGATGCATTATTTGTAGAATTCTGAAAAATCTCATATGATTAGTTATGATATTTTAATCGGTTCGTAAGTATTAAGATTTTAATTTATATAAATCCTCATTTTCCCTATCTCTAAATTCTACATTTTCAAGAGCTTTTACTTTATACCAGTTACCAAATGCAGCCCCAATTTATCACAGTAATGATAAATTTATCAAAGTAATGATATCATCATTTATTTTTGCTCCAACTATATCCAACCACAATGGTTACACTTTCTTTTTGTAAGCGAGTGTAATGCACCAAGAGATCAATATCGGGATCGAAAATTAGTAATATAATTTGGAATATACATCTCTTTTCCAAATTGAAAGTTCGAATTCAGGATGGAATAAACGTTTTACGCCCTGATTTCATCGGTTGAATTATCCAAATTTGATCACAATGGTTACGTTTAACTCAATTTTCATCTTAATTGTTCTTTTTGATCCAAAACTAATTGATAATATATATATATATATATATATATATATATTTCGAATTTAAAATGTAAAATTAATTATGCATATTTTTTGGCTCTCACTATAACTAGAAAAGTTAACATGTGTACCGTTTTTTAACAGATTTTAGAACAGGGCGGACTCATTTGTAAATGTATGCGGTCGCATTGAGCCTTTTCAAAAAGATGGATAGCAAAGGGATTGCTCCAAATGTTGTCACCTACAATTGTTTGATAAACGGCCTTTGCGTTTTCGACAGATGGAATGATGCTGTCCGATTGTTGAATGATATGGCCAAAAGAAAAACCTTCCCTAATGTTGTCACTTCCAATGGATTGATCGATGCGTTCGTTAAAGAGGGTAAGTTTCTGGAGGCCAAAGAAATGTACGAAGAGATGATCCGAAGAGGTTTAGTTCCGGATACTATTACATATACTTCATTGATCGATGGGTTGTGCATGCAGAATCGCCTTGAGGCGAGACGAATGATCGATTCTATGATCAACAGAGGATGCTATCCGAATGTAGTGACTTTTAATTGTCTTATAAATGGTTACTGCAAGTGTAATAAGGTTGACGAGGGTATGAAGCTCTTTCATGAGATGTCTCGAAGAGGGTTGGTCGGTGGATACATGTACTTGCAACACTCTCATACAAGGATTTTTCCGAGCGGGCAAAGACAATGTCGCCCATAAACTCTTTTTAGAGATGCAGAGTCAGGGTGTGGATCTTGATCTTGTAACGTACACAATAATGCTTGATGGTCTTTGTAAGAATGGAAAACTGGACGAGGCACTTGAACTATATTGCCAGTTGGAAACGAGTGGGATTGACCTCGATATCTTTGTCCATAGTCTTATGATGCATGGCTTGTGCAAGAGTGACAAGGTTGATGAGGCACTCGGATTGTTTAATAAACTTTCTGATAAAGGGATTGAACCGATTCAAGTACCATTTGATTTTCCTAGAATTCAATATTTTGAGATGAAATGGTATCAACTAAATAAAACTAAACACATAACAGAAGAATTCACCTCTCTGTGTCATACCATTTTATTGGATTGGGGAAAGTTCATTCACTGCCTACAGAGGAATTTCTTCAGTTGGATCAACTACCAAGAGATTTTCGAACTGCACCACAGAAAGGGAAATACTATCAGATGCAGGAATTTCTTCAGTTGGATCAACTACCAAGAGATTTTCGAACTGCACCACAGAAAGGGAAATACTATCAGATGCCATTGTGAGCATAATCAATTGCAGAAGAGAAAGTTAGAAACCACTAAAAACAATCGGTTAACTCTACTCTTTGTGCAGAGCCAACCGACCATAGATAAACTATCTATTCATTTTGGTCAATTTTAGACAAAACATCATCCACAAGACAAGCTGTTTAAATTTTCATCAGAACCCCATTGATACAACCCTTAGTTTGTGGGTCTATGGATATTTTTATACCGGCTCGACTGTACCTATAATCTGCCATCCTTTGCAATGCATGGAATCATTGAAAGCAGTTATGGTAAATTGGTCGTAGCTGAGTTCTTGTTTATTCTAGGAAGGCGACACATAGCTGAGTTATTTTGGGTAGTTGATGTGTTTTTGTATTTCTGCTGTCTTGTGGATGATGTTTTGTCTAAAATTGACCAAAATGAATAGATAGTTTATCTATGGTCGGTTGGCTCTGCACAAAGAGTAGAGTTAACCGATTGTTTTTAGTGGTTTCTAACTTTCTCTTCTGCAATTGATTATGCTCACAATGGCATCTGATAGTATTTCCCTTTCTGTGGTGCAGTTCGAAAATCTCTTGGTAGTTGATCCAACTGAAGAAATTCCTCTGTAGGCAGTGAATGAACTTTCCCCAATCCAATAAAATGGTATGACACAGAGAGGTGAATTCTTCTGTTATGTGTTTAGTTTTATTTAGTTGATACCATTTCATCTCAAAATATTGAATTCTAGGAAAATCAAATGGTACTTGAATTTCTTTCTAGTTATTCTTCTCTTATCTGTTTCCTTTGATTTTCTCAATTTAAAATTTTTAAATTCTTCTCATGACACTATATATCATATCATCATACATTAAAGTTGTGGACGATTGGTCAAATATATATTTCGAACTAAGCAATGCTTGACAGGTGAACTTGGATTGGTCCTTTCGGTTTTCTATAATACTTCGGTTTAGCTATTTTGGGGTTTGGTAATTTCGATTATGTCAGAACTATATATATTCGTTTTTTTGTCGATCCAATTTAATTCGACTTCATTTTTCAATAAAATGTTTATTTTTAAAGAATTGTTGATATTCATTGTTTTCATTTGTTTTTATTATTTTTTATATTCGATTAAAAAATTATAAATTATTAACTTTATTGTTTAATGCTATTATATATGTAGTATTCAGTTCAATTCAATTAACTATAACATATGCGTAAATAATTGATCATTTTTATTTATTTTTTCATAGTCCGCAAGTTCATCATACTTTCGATCCAAATACATATTAGGATAGAGAGAATTCTGATAAATATCACTCTCCAACTAAAGAATTCAACTATTCCCATAGAAAAGTTATGGAAAAAGGATTATATATGTCTGGACTGACAACGTTGTCTGGTAGAAAACAAAACAAGAAATGAAGTTTGCTTACATCGACTTAAGTATTTTATGATGTTAGAATTGAAAACTTAGGCACAGTATGTTTTATATTCACATGTCAATAACGTATATTTTGTTTTAAAATTTGTTCGTTTGATTAAGTAATTTCAATGCAATTTATTTTATTTTTGGTTTTTGAATGCGTTCTTTTTTGTTTATTTGATTCCTTTCTTATAAGTATATGCATTTTTTATGATAAATATCTCTCTATATATATGTAATAATGTATACATGCATACATATTCACACTTCTGTTCTGACGGGAGACTGGATCTTCTCTCTCGGTGAGCTGTAACGCGGAGATTGGTTTCGGTCATGGAAGTTGTGTGACAATGACAATGAGGTGTGTTCTTCTGTTCTGGATTTAGGTTTGTTTAGTTGTTTAAATTTTCATATAATCGATTTTAATTTGTTAATTAATATATTCACATAATGATCGAGATATCAAAATCTGCATCTCAGGACTAATAATAGTCTTGTGGTTACTGGTTAGTTCTGTTATCATCAATTAACCCCATGTTTATATGATGGGTTTTAGTTTTGACGTTAAATGCATCGTGGAAATTTCTGCAGGTGAATGAGAAGATTAGGAAATGTTGAAAGAGGAGAGATTGATCTTGGAAGCGTTATTCCTAAATGCGACGTCGTCTTCAGATAATCTTTGAAGCTTCTACCCGAGACTGAAGCTTCACATGTATCCGCAATATTCAGCTCCGGATCTTATTCCACACTTTCATCAGTCATATATATATATATATATTCCATGGTATATTTACCCATTTAAACATATTCTCCGGAATTCACTTTAATTCCTTCATTCGTATATTTTCGTAAAATGAATGATCTTCATTCATATTAGCAACTGCTGTCGGCCAAGGCACAGTCAAACAAGTTTAAGGGTAATCTTCGTTTCAATTCCCAATAATGTTTATCTCGGATTTCATTAAAAACACCAAAATTATATATACTTCACTTTTTATATCGATAAGGTGGCGATTCCCAGTAACAAAAAAATATTAATTTTTTTAAAGATTTTTTTATACTTGATTTCTGGGTATATTTTTATTAAGTTAGGTTTTATAAAAATTAAATATTTTTAGGATTCATACTGTTGTTATTATTTGGTAGTTTGCCCTATCATCAAAATAACTTTGCCTAATCTGCTTTAACGCACTGCTCACCAATTTTACAATTTCCTACGATTCCCTTTTCAGACGCATGTAAATGTAATAACCGAAAAAAAAAAGCGAGGAAGAATCTGCTTCTCTCCATTTTCGCTGTGACCGCCGCTTCCATCGAGGGCTTATAGAAGAAGCCGAATCGCAATCCGCCTGATTTCTCATTCTGTCTTCCATTGTTGATTTTACAGAAGAAGCAAATCAAATCGCCGCTTCCAGGGTTAGGGTTTATAGAAGAAGCCGAACCGCAATCTGCCTGCCTTTGAATCGAAGTGAGATGGCGAGAATGGTCAGGAGAATGGCTGCTTTCACATTGGCTTCTGCTTCGAGTTTGGTTCAGACTCATCATTGCCTCGGGAGAGGTACTCTTAACACTTTCTCAGATTGTTCCTCTGTTTTAAGTTGTCGGAGATTTGCTTCTTCTGGTGTTGGAGACTACAGAGACAGATTGAGATTAGGGTTTCATGATTGTAATGTCGGTGAGGCTGTTGCTTTGTTCGACCAGATGGTTGGGACTCGTCCCTTGCCTCCCATTGTTGATTTTAGTAAATTACTGACTGCAATAGCCAAAATGAAACGGTATGATGTTGTGATTTCTCTCTGCAAGAGAATGGAATTGCTCCGGGTTTCACATGACAGCTACACTTTGAGCATTCTCATCAACTCTTTCTGCCGCTCAGGACAAGTGGTTTTGGGCCTTTCGGTTTTGGGAAAAATCCTAAAACTGGGTTACGAGCCTCATGTTATCACGTTTACTACCCTGATCAATGGATTTTGTATCCAAGGGAAGTTTTCTGTGGCGTTAAGTTGGGTTGACCAAATTATAAAAGAGGGATATAAACCTAATGTTGTAACATATACAACTTTGGTCAACGGACTTTGTCGAGAGGGGAGAGTTTCTGAAGCTGTGAGTTTAGTTGATAAGATGTTAAAGTTGGGGTATCAACCAAATGTAGTTACTTATGGCGTTGTTGTCAATGGGATTTGCAAGTCGGGTGATTGTGCTTTGGCATTGAATCTGCTCATGAAGATGGAGGAGAGGAACATTGAGGTCAATGTCAAAATTTATAATACCGTCATTGATGGTCTTTGCAAAGGTGGACACATAGATGATGCATTGAGCCTTTTCGAAAAGATGGATAGCAAAGGGATTGCTCCAAATGTTGTCACCTATAGTTGTTTGATAAACGGCCTTTGCGTTTTCGACAGATGGAACGATGCTGTCCGATTGTTGAATGATATGGCCAAAAGAAAAATCTTCCCTAATGTTGTCACTTTCAATATATTGATCGATGCGTTCGTTAAAGAAGGAAAGTTTTTGGAGGCTAAAGAATTGTGCGAAGAGATGACTCGAAGAGGTTTAGTTCCGACTACTCTTACATATAATTCATTGATCGATGGGTAAAGAACTGTACGAAGAGATGATTCGAAGAGGTTTAGTTCCGACTACTCTTACATATAATTCATTGATCGATGGGATGTGCATGCAGAATCGCCTTGACGAGGCGAAACAAATGATCGATTCTATGATCAACAAAGGATGTTATCCGGATGTGGTGACTTTTAATTGTCTGATAAATGGTTATTGCAAGTCTAATAAGGTTGACGAGGGTATGAAGCTCTTTCATGAGATGTCTCGAAGAGGGTTGGTCAGTGATACATGTACTCACAGCACTCTCATACAAGGATTTTTCCGAGCAGGCAATGTCAAGGTCGCCCAAAAACTCTTTTCAGAGATGAAGAGTCAAGGTGTGGATCTTGATCTTGTAACATACACAATAATGCTTGATGGTCTTTGTAAGAATGGGAAACTTGACGAGGCACTTCAACTATATTGCGAGTTGGAAACGAGTGGGATTGACCTCAATATCTTTGTCCATAGTATTATGATTAATGGTTTGTGTAAGGCTGACAAGGTTGACGAGGCAGTCGGATTGTTTAATAAACTTTCGGATAAAGGGGTTGATTCGGATGTAAAGACCTACACTACAATGATTACTGGATTTTGTCGTAAAGGTATACTCGGTGAAGCCGGCAAGCTGTTTAAGAATATGAAAAAGATTGGTTGTATGCCAAATGATTGTACGTATAATATACTGATCCGAGGTCATCTCAAAGGTGGCCATGTTGCAACTGTTATCGAGCTGATTCGAGAAATGCGAAGCCATGGTTTTTCTTCAGATGTTTCAACAATGGAAATGGTTGTTGATATGTTATCGGACGGGAGATTGGAGAAAAGTTTTTTGGATCTTCTTTCTCGGTGAGCTGTAATGCGGAGCTTGCTTTCGGTCATGGAAGTCGTGTGACAACGAGGTGTGTTCTTCTTATGTTCTGAGTTTAGGACTTTTTAGCTGTTTAAATTTCATCGCTCGACATATTCTGCGTAATTCACATAATGGTCGAGATATCAAAATCTGCTTCTCTGGACTAATATATTTACATGATGGGTTTTAGTTTGGACGTTAAATGCGTCGTGGCCTTGATACTAGCAGTTTTTCTAAATTATTCGGTTCATCAATCGTGGAAATTGCTGGCAGGTGAACGAGAAGATTATGAGTTGCTGGAAGTGTATTAGCTTCGTCAATCTGATCGAGAAAGCTCAGGAAAGCGAAAGCGAGAGAAAATAGGAGAGAAAAATATAGAGAGAGAAAGTGAAAACAGAGTTTTGGGATAATTTTCTGTATATTCCTTTCAATAATACCAGTATCCTTTATATATCTACAAATATCGCGTAACCGTGTAACTAATTTTCCACCGGCTCATTTCCCTTACAAAAGGTTTCCTTTGTATCTAATATCCCCCTCTCAAGTTTATATTTGTCAGAACAATATAAACTTGAAACATTAAGCTTCTGTAAAAGAGCATGAAACAGAGGCGGCTGCAAAGCTTTAGTGAAAATGTCACCAAGCTGATGAGAACTCTTCACATGCATCGTTCGAATAAACCCTTCCTTCAGCTTGTCCCGAACCAAATGACAATCCAATTCGATGTGTTTAGTTCTCTCATGGAACACCTGATTCGAAGCAATGTAAAGAGCCGACTGATTATCACAATACAGATTTGCGGGACGAGTGATCGGAACCTGAAAATGCTGAACCAAATTATCCAGCCAAATCAATTCACAGGTCGTATTTGCTAAAGCCCGGTACTCTGCCTCTGTGCTGCTACGAGAAACGGTAGTTTGCTTCTTTGCTTTCCAAGAAATCAGCGAAGAACCAAGAAAAATGCAAAAACCTGTAACCGATCTCCGAGAATCAGCACATTGTGCCCAATCAGCATCTGCAAACGCTTTTAAATGCAAATCAGAATCTGTCGAGTAAAACAAACCCTGTCCAGGATCTGATTTCAGATAACGAACAATGCGTTGAGCCGCTCGCAAGTGTTCATCAGTAGGCTGAGCCATGTACTGGCTAAGTTTGTGAACCGAATATGTGATATCTGGGCGTGTTATAGTCAAATATAACAGACGGCCAATGAGTGCCCGAAAAACTGTAGGATCACTCAGAACAGCACCAGAATCCTTGTTCAACTTGACATTAGGATCCATAGGTACCGAAACAGGTTTGCATCCAAGAAGACCTGTATCAGAAAGCAATTCAAGACAATACTTGCGTTGACATAAAGAGATGCCTGCCGAGGATCGTGCTATCTCCAATCCAAGAAAAAAACGCAAAGGACCAAGATCCTTAATACTGAAATTCTGATGCAAAAGTTGCTTCAGATCAGCTTCAGCCTGTAAATCATTGCTAGCAATGATTATGTCATCAACATACACCAACAAAGCCACAAACACATCATTCTGCTTTCGGACAAACAGAGTATGATCAGATTGTGACTGCTGAAAACCACCTTGAATCAACACATCTGAGAACTTCTTGTACCATTGCCGAGAAGCTTGTCTTAAACCATACAAAGATTTATGAAGCTTGCAAACAGCATTTGGAGGAAGTGATTCCCCAGGAGGCGGTTCATATCCTGGAGGAAGTGACATGTAGATATCTTCATCAAGTTCACCATGCAAAAAAGCATTAGTCACATCCATTTGAGTGAGATTCCATTTCTGAGTTGCAGCAAGGGCAAGTAGCAACTTCACTGTGACTAACTTTGCTACAGGAGAGAAGGTTTCAATAAAATCAATTCCTTCTTGTTGAGTAAAACCTTTAGCAACTAGCCTAGCTTTATACCTTTCAATACTACCATCTGGATTATGCTTGATCTTATACACCCATTTGCAACCAACTGCTCTCTTATCATGAGGTAAGGACACCACTGACCAAGTACCATTGTCATGAAGTGCCTGCAATTCAACATTCATAGCTTTCCTCCAGTTCTCAACCAAAACAGCTTGTTTAAAAGTCTTAGGCTCGGTTTCAGAAGAAATTTGGAAAATAAAAGATTTGTATGGTGGACTCAGCTTATCATAAGATAAAACAGAGGATAAAGGGTATATACAAGAAGAAGAATGGTGACTGGTTTGATTACAGTAATAATCTCGAAGATAAGAAGGAGCTTTAGTAATTCTTTGAGGTCGAGCTGTAGGTTGAGAAACTGAAACTGGATTAGAGTTGGACTGTGGAATTCCAGGGTCTGGTGAAATCTCAGAATGAGATGAAGAAGGAACAAATGAGGCATTCTCAAGATACGAGTTTGCAACATCTGTACAAGGCAAAGGCAAAGGTAAAATTGTCTGGGAAAAAAAATCTGAAGCAGAGCGTGAAGACTCTGACAACAGAAGTGGGTCTGTAAGAAATGGAAAAATATTTTCATGGAATTCCACATTCCTGGAAATGAAAACTCTATTAGTTTCAGTGTCAAGTAACTTATACCCTTTGTATCCTGGAGGATATCCAAGAAATACAGCAGGCGAAGCACGAGGAGAAAACTTGTTCCGGAGATGAACATGAGTTGAAGCATAGCACAAACAACCAAAAACTCGAATATGAGAATATTCTGGAGTTTTCTGATTCAATACCTCAAAAGGACTTCTATTCTGCAGCAAAGGAGACGGAATCCGATTGATCAGGTACACAGATGTCCGAATACAATCACTCCAATACTGAACCGGCACATTTGACTGAAACAACAAGGCCCTCGCCACATTGAGAATGTGTTGATGTTTCCTTTCCACCACTGAATTCTGTTGGGGAGTATAAGCACAAGCAAAATAATGTTGAATGCCTTTTTCCCTGCAGAAATCAGAAAAAGCTAACTCTGGTGCATTATCGGTTCTTATACCCTTGATATGTGCATCATATTGACGCTCCACCATAGCTACAAAACTCGGAAAGACAGTTAATACATCATTTTTATGACGTAACATGTATACCCAGGTTGCACGAGAACAGTCATCTACCAAGGTTAGAAAATAGTGATAACCCTCAACTGAAGAAACAGAGAAGGGCCCCCAAACATCCATGTAAACAAGATCAAAAAGGGAAGAAGACAGATTATTATTTGAAGAGAATGAAAGACGTTTTTGTTTTGCCAAATGACAAATTTTACAATGTGTAAGATCTGTACATTTAGCAATATCTAAAACTGAAGAAAGAGTTTTTATTCGAGACAATGACGGATGACCAAGACGTTGATGCCATAATGTGGAATCAACGGTCAAGGCATTACAACAAAAAGAAATGGATGCTGGGATGAAAGAAGAATTCAATATGTAGAGATTCTGATGCAAATCAGCCTTCCCAATCGTCAAGGCCAGAGAATGGTCCTGGATAAGACAGGAATCCGAGGTAAAAAGGAACGTGTAAGCATTTGAATTCATCAGAGAAGGAACAGAAAGTAAGTTGAAAGAAAAATCAGGTATGTAAAGAACATTGGTCAAAACAAGATGAGGATTGAGATGAACTGTCCCAGCAACCTGAATAACTAATTTCTGTCCATTCGGTAATGTAACTACAGTAGGAGGAATATTTTTCAAATCAACAAGCAAGGATTTATTTGAACAGACATGAGTTGAGGCGCCTGAATCAATAATCCAAGCTGTGTTAAAATGAAGAATACTCATCACCCAATCTGGACTGCACATAACAGAAGATATAAGAGAGATATTACCAGTGTAGCTAGATGTATTTTCTGCAGCACCATGAGCAGAGACTGTAGGTCCATTTAGTCGTCGACAGTTACCAATCATCGAGTATATCTGATGCATTTGTTCAGCAGGTAACGTATTAATACTATGCACAAGACAATACTGGGTAACGTATTAATACTATGCACGAAAGAATTCTGGGAAGGTGAACCTGCTTGAACATTCGCAATGGCTCCCTTAGGTGGAAAACCAGACTTAGCTCCTGCATACGGAGGAAAATATCGTTGCTGTTGTGGAATTTGTGATGCAGAAGATTTGGATCCTCTATATCCAGGAGGATAACCATGTAGCTTATAGCATTTATTGACAGTGTGACCATACAATCCACAATGTGTGCATAACGGTTTCTGTTTCAGCTTGGAAATTGGCTGTGAGACTGCAGCTACAGTTTCTGATGAAGATCCAGAAACTTGAAAAGTAACATTATCAGATGCAATAGGTGAATGCTTGATAAGTTGTTGTTGTTCATGCTGAGTCAACAAATAAAATGTTTTCTGTAGATCTGGCAAAGGATCCATCATAATGATCTGTCCACGAATTGTCTCATAAGATTCATTTAGACCAAACAGAAAATCCATCACGAAATTCTGCTCAGTCTGATCCATATTACGTTGATCAGCACGACAAGAACAATTTCCACAAATACAAACTGCAGCAGCCTGAGTTGACTTCAACTCTTCCCAAATTGCCATTAACTTTGTGAAATAAGTCGTCACATTCATTGATCCTTGCTCCAATGTTCGAAGTCTACGCCTGATGCTATATAGACGAGGAGCACTAGTTTGTTGATACCTTTTTATAATAATATTCCACAAATCCTTCGCAATTTTGGTATACAACAAACTAGAACCAATATCCTTCGAAACAGAATTCAAAATCCAGGCACGAACAATGACATTGTTCCGAGACCACAATTTCGCATCAGGATGATTATCTGGAGGTTTCGGTAACGTACCGTCGACATAGCAAAGCTTATTTCGACCTTCCAACGCCATAGACATGGAGCAATACCAAGAATTGAAGTCAGCTGGCTCAACCAAGCGATCAGAAACCAGATTCAAACTCGTAAGATCATTACTACCAAGATAGTAGCAATTATCATACGATTCGGCAGACGAATTTGAAGAATTCTCTGTCGGAGGCATGTTTACAGAGAAACAGCCAAACAAAAAACAATTGAAATTGAAGAGAAAAATCAACAAAACAAGATGATAATCGGAGCAAAAGCGAGTTTAGAACGCTCTGATACCATATTAGCTTCGTCAATCTGATCGAGAAAGCTCAGGAAAGCGAGAGAAAATGGGAGAGAGAGAAATGTAGAGAGAGAAAGTGAAAACAGAGTTTTGGGATAATTTTCTGTATATTCCTTTCAATAATACCAGTATCCTTTATATATCTACAAATATCGCGTAACCGTGTAACTAATTTTCCACCGGCTCATTTCCCTTACAAAAGGTTTCCTTTGTATCTAATAAAGTGTTCTTGCTAAAGGTTTCTTAATGTCTGAAGTGGAGAGATTGGCGTTGATTTGTGGGTTTATGGTTTCTTCTGTTTTCCGTCGGTGACTGCTTAAAAATTTTCTGGACCTGTACTCTGATGCTATGTAACATGTTCACGTTTAAGGTTCTTACATATCTAAACTAAACAGTTGAACAAATTTACTGGTTTAAACTTGGAACGGACATATTATCAGATTTCATAATTCTGATTTTAGAAAGAATTATATATATTCGTTGTTTTATGTCAAATTGCTTTTTATAAGCAAAGTGTTCTTGCTTAGGCTTCTTAATGTCTGAACTGGAGAAGTTGGCTTCATAAAGGCATACTTCCAATTATAATATATAAGGAGAAATTGATGCTTTTCCAATAGGTTTGGAAATTGATAATCTCCCATCCTTTCCAAAGCCCAAATCTATGAAATCCAACACGAGTTTTACAATCCGTCCTTATATATATATATATATGTATATATTCGCATTGTTCACTTCTCTCTTAAACACAGATTTAAGGCTTAAGTTTGGAATTATCATTTCAATTTCCCATAACGTTTGTTTATTTATGATTTCATATATTGAGTATATGTTTGTTTGTATTTTTAAATATCGATTTGCGTTTTATAAGGATCCAATTTTCAGAAAAAAACGGTTTTTTTAAAGACTATTTTTATGTTTTTTTACCAAACAAATATTTTTATATTCGTTTTTTCAGGAAATTTTTATTAATTTTGATTTTGATTAATTTAGTTTTAGAAAAAGTATATATAGTTTTTATAGATTCAATCTACAATTCTCCTAATTTGGCCGTTGCCCTGTAATTGGATTTCTCTATATTTTATCTAATTATATTTATAAATATTTGTCATCAAAATGATCGACAAAAAAAAAAAATATGTTTCAATCTGGTCGTCCATTTTACAGTTTTTCCTATGATTTGTTTTTTTAAAAAAAAAAAGAGGAAGAATTTGCTTTTCTCCATCAAGAGTTTTCGCTGTGACCGCCGCTTCCACCCAGGGTTTTACAGAAGAAGCCGAAATTGCAATCTACCCGATTTCTCATTCCGTCTACGAATTGAAGCTGAGATGTCGAGAATGGTCCGGACTATGGCCGCTTTCACATCGGCTTCTGCTTCCAGTTTGGTTCAGACTCATCAACGCCTTCGAAGAGGTACTCTTAACACTTTCTCAGATCGTTCCTATGTTTTAAGTTGTCGGAGACTGGCTTCTTCTGGTGTTGACTACAGAGACAGATTGAGATTTGGGTTTCATGGTTGTAGTAATGTAGATGAGGCTGTCGCTTTGTTCGACCACATGGTTCGGTCTCGTCCCTTGCCTTCCATTGTCGATTTTAATAAATTACTGGCTGCAATCGCCAAAATGAAACAGTATGATGTTGTGATTTCTCTCTGCAAGAGAATGGAATTGCTCCGGGTTTCACATGACGACTACACTTTGAGTATTCTCATCAACGCATTCTGCCGCTCAGGACAAGTGGTTTTGGGCCTTTCGGTTTTGGGGAAAATCATAAAAAGGGGTTACGAGCCTAACGTAGTCATATTCACTACCCTGATCAATGGATTTTGTATCCAAAAGAAGCTTTCTGTGGCGTTAAGTTGGTTTGACCAAATGGTATACGAGGGGTACAAACCTGATGTTGTGACATTTACCACTTTGGTCAACGGACTTTGTCGAGAGGGGAGAGTTTCTGAAGCTGTGAGCGTAGTTGATCGGATGTTAAAGTTGGGGTATCAACCAAATGTAGTTACTTATGGCGCTGTTGTCAATGGTATTTGCAAGTCGGGGGATTCTGCTTTGGCATTGAATCTGCTCATGAAGATGGAGGAAAAGAACATTGAGGTGGATGTCAAAATTTACAGTATGATCATTGATGGTCTTTGCAAAGATGGACACATAGATGATGCATTGAACCTTTTCGAAATGATGGACAGCAAAGGGATTGCTCCAGATGTTGTCACCTACAGTTGTTTGATAAAAGGCCTTTGCGTTTTTGACAGATGGAACGATGCTGTCCGATTGTTGAATGATATGGCCAAAAGAAAAATCTTCCCTAATGTTGTCACTTTCAATATATTGATCGATGCGTTCGTTAAAGAGGGAAAGTTTTTGGAGGCCAAAGAACTGTGCGAAGAGATGATCCGAAGAGGTTTAGTTCCGAATACTCATACATATACTTCATTGATCGATGGGTTGTGCATGAAGAATCGCCTTGACGAGGCGAGACGAATGATCGATTTTATGATCAACAGAGGATGCTATCCAAATGCAGTGACTTTTAATTGTCTGATAAATGGTTATTGCAAGTGTAATAAGGTTGACGAGGGTATGAAACTCTTTCATGAGATGTCTCGAAGAGGGTTGGTCGGTGATACACGTACTTACAACACTCTCATACAAGGTTTTTTCCGAGCGGGCAAAGACAATGTCGCCCATAAACTCTTTTTAGAGATGCAGAGACAGGGTGTGGATCCTGATCTTGTAACTTGCACAGTAGTGCTTGATGGACTTTGTAAGAATGGAAAACTGGACGAGGCGCTTGTATTGTATTGCGAGTTGGAAACGAGTGGGATTGACCTCAATATATTTGTTCATAGTATTATGATGAATGGCTTGTGCAAGGCTGACATGGTTGATGAGGCACTCGGATTGTTTAATAAACTTTCGGATAAAGGGATTGAACCGAACGTAAAGACGTACAATACAATGATTACTGGATTTTGTAGAAAAAGTTTGCTCAGTGAAGCCGACAAGCTGTTTAAAAACATGAAAGAGGTTGGTTGTATGCCAGATGATTGTACGTATAATGTACTGATCCGAGGTCATCTCAAAGGTGGCCATGTAGCAACGGTTATCGAGCTCATTCGGGAAATGAGAAGCTGCGGTTTTTCTTCAGATGTTTCAACAATGGAAATGGTTGTTGATATGCTATCGGACGGGAGATTGGAGAAAAGTTTTTTGGTTCTTCTTTCTCGATGAGCTGTAATGCGGAGGTTGCTTTCAGTCATGGAAGTCGTATGACAACGAGGTGAGTTCTTCTTATGTTCTGAGTTTAGGCCTTTTTAGCTGTTTAAATTTACATCAGAACCACATATTGATACATACCCTTAGTTTGTGGGTCTATGGATATTTTCATATCGGGTCAGCTGTGCATATCATCTGCCATCCTTTGCAATGCATGGAAACATTGGAAACAGTTTTGGAAATTGGTCGTAGATGAGTTCTTGTTTATTCTAGAAAGGTAACACATAGCTGAGCTCTTTTGGGTAGTTGATGTGTGTTTGGTATCTCTGCTGTCTTGTGGATGATGTTTTTGTCTAAAATTGGACAGAGCTAATACATAGTTTATCTCTTTTTGGTTGGCTTCTGCACAAAGAGTAGAGTTATCCGATTGTTTTTAGTGGTTTCTAACTTTCTCTTCTGCAATTGATTATGCTCAC